ACCATAGTCAAGATGATACGGGGGACAGGATTAGGCGAATTGGTGGAGTTCCAGAGCCATAGAGGAGCTCCAAGATCCCAAGTCAACAGAGTTTCTCGTGAGTGGGGGGTTGGGGGTGGGGGAGTTCAGCAGCTACTACAACAATTTACTGACATCATTCTAGCTGTTGAATGAGTTACTACCCCTGAGGGAGCATGAGCATGTTATTGCATTAAAGGAGTGTCCTTTTTATCAGTGTTAAGACCATATCAGTACCCTTAGTTTCAAAAAAATGAGACAGAGAAGTTAATCCGAGAGATGCTCGAAGTTATGATTAACATACCTAGTGTGAGCCCTTTTTTTAGCCCAGTCCTATTGGTGAAGAAAGATTGTAGCTGGCGATTTTGTGCAGATTCTCGGGCTTTGAACAAGGAACTTGTATTGGACAAATTTCCAATTCCTGTAATTGATGACTACTAGACGAGTGTTATGGGCAATCATTTTCTTTAAGCTCTATTTGAAGTTGGGGTATTATCAGATCAAGATGGGTCTAGTTAATGTGCATAAGACAACATTCAAGACACTAAAGGACATTACGAATTACTGGTAATGTCGTTTGGCCTCACTAAAGTCTCACATAAATTTGGTTTTCAACCTTACGTCAGGAACTTTGTCTCGATCTTCTTCGAGCTGATCTACAATAGTACAAAGTTAGAGTATGTGAGGCATCTGAGGATCACCTCGGAGACATTGAGATAACACTAGTTGCACGCCAACTTGATGAAATGTTCCTTTGCACAGTTGTTGGCGGAGTACCTAGGGCACGTGGTGACCAGGGTAGGAGTAGTAGTGGACCAGTCCAAGATCGAGGTTTTGGTAGATTAGCCTTTCACCAAGGAGTTTTAAGGAATTGAGGGGTTTCCTGAGTCACACTGAAAAAAATTCATGTGGGGGTGCGACACGATAGCATAGCTAATTACGAAACAGTTGAAGAAAGACATTTCAAGTGGGGGGAAGCAGCAACAAAGACATTTGAACATCTGAAGAGAGTCATGACCAACGTTATTGTTTTAGTACTTTCAGATTTTAGTAAGCCTTTTGTTGTAGAAACAGATGCACCAGGGTATAGATTAGGAGCGGTACTCATGCAGGAAAAATGGCCGATTGCTTATTTTCAGCCAGGTGCTTATAGTTTGATCGAGGCTCAAGTCATTGTACAAGCGGGAGTTGATAACAATTTTCTTGGTCATTCAAAAGTGGCATCCCCACCTATTGGGACGACACTTTCTTTTCAGGACATATCAAATGAGCTTAAAGTAACTTCTAGAACAGAGGACGGTGACTAAGGAGCTTCTGAGATGACTATCCATGTTAGTGGGATATGATTTTTAGATTCGGTATTGGTCACGATTGGAGAATAAAGTTGCAGACACACTATCGAAAAAGGTGGAGGAGCCCAACTGTCAGCCTTATCGGTATCCTTGGTCTTACAGATTGAGAGGCCCTGCGACGGGAGAGCAAGCATGATGAAGGGTTGATGAAAATACTTGTAGAGTTGCTAAGGATCTGAAAAGCCATCCAGGATATGCATTGAAGGGGCAGCAGCTCCTCTTCCATGGGCGGTTCGTGTTGCCGAGAACATCAAAGTACATCCCCAATTTATTGCAAGAGTTTCACGACATTGCAATTGGGGGACACTTAGGGTTACATAAGACATCCAATCGTTTATTGACAAAGCTCTCTTGGGTGAGAATGCGCGGAGACATATAAGACATGGTAGCAATGTGCGATGTGTGCCATTGAATAAGTACTTGAACATGTCGCCAAGAGGGTTATTGCAGCCCTCAGTGTTACCGGGAAAGGTTTAGGAAGAAGTGACATTGGATTTTATAGACGGTTTGCCACAAACGGAAGGATTTACGATGATCTTTGTGGAAGTTGATTGCCTCACATTTTATGCCATTGTGACACCCCTACACTGCGGTCTCAATCGTTACGGTGCTCATATGTGAAGTGGTCCGTTTGCATATAGGGAAGAAGTGTTTCTCAACCAATTCTTGGAGGAGCTACTCAGGGTGTAAGGAACAGTTCTTAAAAGAAGTACATCATATCATCTCTAGACCGACGACCAGTTAAGTGGTTAATAGGAGCGTAGAAACATACCTGTGCCGTTTTGTATTGGTTATGCCGAAGTTTTGGGCCAGTGGATTGCGTGGGCCGAATATTGGTATAATACTTTACATCATACTGCGACACACCCATTTCAAGCTTCTGTATGTGCGAGATCCACCTCACCTGATACATTATGTTCATAGCACTACATCGATATCCAACATCGACTAGTACTTGTAGGAGGACAAGATATTGGTAGAGCTTAAGGGGCATCTATTGAGAGCTCTACAGATCATGAAGATGAAGGCAGATGTTTGTAGAGCACAATTCGAACTTGGGAACATGGTCTAATTGAAATTAAGACCTTACTGACAAATGACATTGGCGAGGCGGAGGAGCGAAAAAATCTTTTCATGCTATTTTTGACCCTACAAGATTGTGACATGCATTGGGTCATTGACCTACCGTTTGAGGTTACCCTCATCGTCAGCACTACATCGAGTTTTTTTCATGTTTCACAACTGAGGTGCTATTAGAGATCATGTACCCTCGTCTTCACTGCAACACTAACAGAGGACATGGAAGTGATTCTGGAACTTTTAGAGGTCGAAGGAGTGAGCAAAGGAGGTACTAATTAAGTGGAAAGATCTGTCTGATATGAAGTTATGTGGGAGCGTTACAATGGGATCTGAAAGCAGTTTTCATCCTTCCACTTGAGGACAGGGTGTTTCTTTAGGAGGGAAGCGTTGATATGCACATGCCTCCCTCATTTGAAAGAATGCACACACCTACCTTCACTGCAGGTGAATCGGTCTAGGATACACATGCTCCTCCCTTCACTGCAGGTGAATTGGTCTAAGATATGCACACGCCACCCTTAGCCGAAGGAATGCACGTATCTCCTTCACTCTAGGTGCACTCGTCTGGACCGGCCTGACCAAGCATAAGTAGCCGATTTAGCCTAGAGGGGTGGATTTCCCAGGAAATTATGAGAGCGATCCTAGCCCTCGGGTGGAGCTCACTAAGCCTCTAATCACGTACATGAGGAAGGGAATCAAGGGAGATTTTGGGGGGAAAGTTTGAAAGGGATCTGGGAGAGTATTTAGGAGGGTTAAGTGGCTAGGGTTTATTTTTATGTTTTATTTGGGCTGCAGTTTTTCTTTTCTGGTGGTGCACCTAGCGGCGTCTAGGTTTTTTGATGAGTTGATCTACCTCTCGAACCGTAGATCAACACTATATCTTGTTTGTTTCATTAATATTACTGAAATTGGCCATTATTTGAGTTTCTCTACATCTTTATTACAATTTATTCTCTGTTTGTCTACTTATTTGGGTTCTGGATTGAATCACGTCCCTTATTCCCACCCGCTAGACAAGTAAACATGCGAGGAAGATAAACAGGAATGCTTTATGAAGCTTGGAATTATTGAAACAGCCCACGGCTTCATCTACAGTTGATTTTTATATGTCAGATGACTCAGATCCTATTTCTTGCAGAGAAACATTTATTTAAAATGTAACTTATAGCAAATATAAATCTTTATACATATTTTTGTTTTAAGAAAAGGGCCATTTGCGTACCTACTACACAATTCCCATGTATTTACAAATCTAACACCTAAACTTTACTTTTACGTTTATACTACCTAAATATTTCATATCACTTAAAAAATACTACTATTTTAGTTTTTTAAAATGTCTTGTGCCCTCTCTTCAAGGTGACATATATTTAAAAATTGAAGTTTGCTTGTTAGATATTGCATACATAAGAGTTAAATTGTATGTTATAAGTCGTATGAAAATTACGAACACCCCGATTGAATGCAACAAACCTTCTCTTGTAATCTTATATAGAAACATAAGTTATAAAATTTCCAAGAATAATTTTATTTTATAACTTTACGATTTATTATAGCCCAGGTAGTTCCATGTCAAGTCCGTGCCGAGCATTGCTAAGTTTTGTTGGTTTTTCCATTGCTTTCATCTGAATTTGATATAAATTCTCTTAAAATTAGTATATAAAATATTTACATAAAGAATCTTATTAAATTAAAATATTATTCTTAAACCAAATAATCTGATTTAACCTGTTTTCATTTTTTATTTGAATTTTATACATAAATAATGAAAACCTTCGAATCAAAGAATTTTAATCAAATTTAATATTTAATTATCGGAAAAATTTTGAATCAAAACTTTTTTATAATAACAGATTTTAACAAAAAAAAATTTTAATTTTTCAAAACCTGTCCCAATCCTAGAAAATTGAGAGAATTTTAAAAATAACTATTTAGTGTCCCCTCTTTGAAATTTTTCTGGCTTCGCTGCTGGGATTGGGACTAAAAGGTAAATAAGCAAACCAAACAGGCCTTTATATGTTTTAAGTAATATCGAATTAATGAAGTTAGTCACCTGGAGTTCTGAATGCTTCTTTTTGTGGCATGCTAACTGGAGTTTTTACTGGAACAGCTTCTTCAAACGTTTATCCTGCTCTTCCAACATTCTCCTCTTTTACTTAAGACACAAATCAAGCTAAAATTACAACTATACAGTGATTTTTGTAGCAGTACTTTCTATTCCCATTTGGTAAACAGTTGAAACTAATTACTGTATACATCTGCCTATTGGAGTAGAAATTTGAGGAATCCATATGTTTAAACTGGGTAAAACAAAAGAAATTTTATCATGATGATAGTAATGCTTAATTTTCTAATCACTCTTTGAAGCTCCAGTTTTTGTTGATCATTTTTTATATTGACGTATTGCTTGCTGTTATCCATGAGATTCAGCTTTGTTAAGTTTGGTGTGCATTAACACTGAAGTGAACAGATCTAAATTTAAACATGCGTTCTGAGCTGCTGTATAGGCTCAGGATATTTATTTTACTGAATGTTTTATTCATAATGTAGGCTTGGTTTTTCCATTGAAAAGACGTCTTTGTCATCTTTTGAGGTCCATGACTTGACACTCAGGATGTATTTTAGTACAGCAGCATCTCTATGGAATCAAAGCATCTGTATCCTGGGTGTTGTAGCAAAGGCAGAAGATTGGGGTGTCTTTTTCAAGGTTAGTACAATCATGTGATTTTCTTGTTAGCGTTTTATAGTAAACAAATGCTACAATCTGTTGCATTTTTTTCTATATAAAGCAAATACATTTTTTTTCATTTTTTTAAAATTCTTACTGAAAATTCCCGAGTTTTGATGCTCCTTGGAGAAGAAATGAACTCGCTGTTTGGTGTGGTGAAAGGTCTAAGTTTTCAATTTTATTTATATTTGTGTTTCTAGTTATTTGTAGGCAATTATTCATTACTCCTTAGCAGAACGTGCTGTTCAATATGTAGGTAGTCGGTTTTATATCTATCTTCAAGCTGCTGTTTCTATTTTCCATACCGGCAGTAAGCGCTGCAGGTAAGAAATGAACTTTTTCTCTCAAAAACTTCTGCATCATCTCACAAAATTTAAAAGGAACTTCAGTACTGCAATAGTTTTTGTTTTGCTTATCATCTCTTTTCAACTTGTTGAATTCAGGGTTGGTTGGCTTGTTTACCTTCTTCATTATATATGAACAATGTGAAAAAGAAATAGAGAACTTAATTGCTGCTGGCTCTCGTGGATTAGATAAAATGAAGCGTCTACTGATGGCCAAATTGCCCTGTTCTGTGGCAAAATATGTTTCCTAAGTTTTGCTACAGGCATCAAATAAATCATGACTATATATTTGCGAGTTTGAAATATTAAGAAACATTATCTTAGCACTTGGCTTTTACATAATCGTCTATCAAGGGTACTTCATACCAAAGTTTACTTGGATTAAGTTTTTATTTTTATTTTTAATTTTTTTTTAGTTTGAATTTGGGAATTCCTGTTTTATCACAATCATTGTTGGCAAATACAATGTGTTAAAGCTTGCAACATATCAGAACTTCATACTACTATTCCTGTACATTTGTCGTGGGTCTTTGTTAATTATTCTTAATTCTAGTTTCAAAATACGTTGAGTGCGAATTTTCTCTTTTTTTGAAAGAATAAAAGGTCGTCTTGATGCGTGTCGGAAGGTCCATGGCGTCAGAGTGATTATTTAGTATGTTAATGTTGTATGAGACTCCAACACAGTTCAAATAATATAAGAGAAGCAGGAGTAGACATCAAATTCTGGAAAAGAGAAAAAGCCACTGGGCGTGACCTAGTTCAAATAATTCACTATGAATGGTGAGTACACAGGTCTACTATTTTTCTAAATTAGGAAAAACGGAGTTACAAACTTGATCATGATATATGTACAATAGTTATTCATCAATAATAACTGTAGTGGCTGTAATGAATGCAATTTTTGGTGATAGCAGATTGCAAGTCGATTGTTATGGAGTCAGTAGTCTGTCATAAATGTTGTAGAAGAAGGTTGTAACATTAGCTTGTTATATAGGCCGCAGTTAAAAGCTTTCATAGGAATTGTTCGTGTGGGCCGCAGATGGTTGCTTTAAGGGCCTCGGTTGACCACTGAGATTGTAGTAGGAAATTGTAGGAATTGTGAACCACGTACGTCATAGTTGGTTACGTAGGTCGTGGTGAGATGTGATAATGTTGGTAGGGCATAAAGATATGAGTCGGGAGCTGCACAAGTTGTAAGTCACATAAGCCGTAGTTGGTTACATAGGTTGTAATAGTGAGTTGTGATGACGTCCGTAGACCATGGAGGCCAGATTCATGAGTTCCACGAGCTATGGATCACATGAGACATATTTGGTCACATCAATCGTAATGACTCCCAAAATTAAAAGATGTAAATTCAAATCTTCTTTCTACAAAAAGAAGTTTGTTAGCTCCAAGGCTCAGGAGCAATATAACAAACGCTTAAGGGTTTCATTAGTCTTGGGGGAGCTATAAAAAGATGCTTAATGTCGAAGAAGTTAATAGCGGAGAAGGGTTTCATTAGTCTTGGGGGAGCTATAAAAAGAATGATTGTTGCACATCATAGGGAGGCTTTTTGCTACACTACGACTGTAGCAGTGATTTTGCTGGTTAGGGAATTTTATGCCAACTTCTCTAATGCTTTGGATGATTTGGTGTTTGTTAAGGAAAAGTAGGTGGATATCTACGCATTAATGCACTGTTGCATTGGGGGGATATTCCAGGGAGTTTCTAATCTAGTTTTGTTTCTACAGATTTTGAAGTGGATGAAATCATTAGATTTTTAACTGATGGGGAAGGACTTATAAGGCGAGGAATGACAACAAGGTCAAGTTTTCTTCATCTAAACTTAATGCACCTTCTAAGGCTTGGCACTACTTCATTACCGCCAAGATCCTCCCTTCCGCCAATCTGAGTGAGGTGACGAGAGAGAGAGAGAGAGAGAGAGAGAGAGAGAGAGAGAGAGAGAGAGAGAGACACTCTACAATTATTGTATCCAAACCATGAATTCCATAGATATTGGTGCTGTGATTTATCATTCTATCGTCAATGCTGCAAAGGGAGGTTCCAGTTTGGGGTTAGGATACCCTTCTATTTTTTGCCTTTTACCAGAATTTAGGAGTTTTTTTTGAGGGGTGGGAAGAGCTGCTTCATCCTTTGAAGCCCATTAGCAAGGCTAATGTAAATATGTATAGCAAGCATGCTATTTTTGGATGCAGAGCCAATTCTTCTCAAGGTCCTTCCTCTTCTTAGCCTTCTGCTTCCTATTCTCAGCCTAGGCGCTCTACTAGTATGACCTCGATGTCAAAACGAGTGAAGAAAATGGAGGATGACATCTCTATTATTCTGACCAATGTCTATGATATTGTTGATCATTTAGCACACTTAGACTGGCAAAACAAATGCCGATCTGATCTTGACGTCTGTTTTTATGTTGATCAAGGGGAGATTTATAGAAGAAATTGGTGGATTGGTGGGGACAATACAATGAAGTTCCCAGTTTGTTTACCTTACCAAATGTATGAGCATAGCAGGTGGATGGAGGTGGATTCAAAGAAAGAGGACTCTGATGATGAGGATAAAGAGGATGAGGATTAGTATATTTTTATTTTTCTTTATATGGATGTGTAGATGTTATTTTCTTGTTGTTGCTGCTGCTCATGTATTTTCATTTATATGTTTCTGTTGTATTGGACACTATCTTTATTTTGCTTATGTTGTTATGTTACTCTGTCAATTAGGTTTTTTTTATTGCTTTGAATTATTCTCGGTACTTATCTTTTGTAATATTAAACTCTTTCTGGTGTAATTTCACTTTTTCTTCATACCCTATTCAATGGTGATTAACCTATTATTGCATACTTGTTCTTTCTTGCTTATACTTGTTAATTTTTTTGATAAACACGCGTAATAGATAGAATTTTTGCACTATTTTATCCCTACCTATATTCATATTTTACACTGCTTAATACACTAAAAATTAAGTTTGGGGGAGAAAAAGATTTAAGTTATTTGTCCTTAGTAACATGTATATAATTGTTATGTTTGTAAAAAGGATTTGAGGTATGTGGTGTTAATTTGAAGTTATTGCAATATTAAGGAAGGAAAAACATAGTATCTTTATTTTAAATTCTATGTAAATGAGGCTAGAATAGTTAAGGTTAGCTTGTAGTTTAACATGTAAAAAAATGATTTCAATATTTATTTTCGTAAAGAGTTATATAATTGTTTAACCATGTATCTTTAGATATATACTTCATAAGAATTAAGCATCTATTCAAAACATAGTTTCAAATGTTACACATTAAAGTGAATGAGTGTGGTAGGCTTCACTTTAGGGAGTTGATAGTGGAATTAAAAACTATTAAAGAGCTATCCAGTTATAATCCTCCTAAAATTATGCTAAGGATTGAAATATACATCCTAAAGCAAGAAAAATGGTGCTTAAAAGAAAAATATTAAGGGAGGAGAAGCTTGGGGAGAAGCCTAATCAAAAATTGGTTTCACTAGATTCTTTTTAAAGTTGAAGCTTTATTACATTTCTAAGCTTACGTGTAATCAAAGTGTATTTGTAAGTCTTTTTAAATGGATTCCTTAAATTCTAATTTTCCACCATTTAAGGTCCTTTAGTTAACATTTATTAATTCTTTTTGAATTGACTAGAAAATCAAGTTTTCCTGGTTAGATGAAAATGTTTATTTTTACCCTAGGGCTAAATTTATTTGCTAGAATTATTGTAAATTTTCATTATGAGTTTTCTTGAGGTAAATTGATGATAATTTTAATAAAACTCACTCCCTTAAATTAATATATTTGGTTTTAAAATTCTAGTGTTACTTGAAGGCAAGTAACGTTTAAGTTTGGGGGTTTTTGTTGTGTAGAAGGCATGCATAAATTTATTTATATTTTACACATTTTTTATAGCTGAAATTGCACTTAATTAAGGGTATTTTCATATTTTTCTTGCAGGTACAACAGGTAGTAGAAATGGAACGAAGTGGTGAAGAAATGGATCGAGCTTGAGGTGACTCAAGAGCTAGCGCCTAGGTGCTAGCCATTGGGCCCTCCTACTAAGAGCCTTGGCACTACCTTCTTAGGCGCCTAGATGCTAGTGCCCAAACTAGTAGATAGAGAGGCTGGCGCCTAGGGGCCAGGCTAGTGGTTCATAGGCGTCAGCAACTGCTAGGCAGTTTTCAGCAGTTATTCCCACACGATTTGGGGGAGTTATGCAAATGATATAGGGGCTTATTTGAAAAGTTTTGAGAAAGAGAACATTGTTGAAGTCCAAGGAGAACACTTCTAAAGTTTAGGGGCGAGTCTATGTGAAGTCTAGGGTGAGATTCTAAGTAAATTTTCCTTTTATTTAGAGATTTTTAATGAGATTAGTGAGTGTTATTGGAGCGAAGACATTCAACACTGTAGTGAGGACTGGGAAATCCTTTTAGGGAGGCATTTCCAACACTTTGTCAAGAGAAAAGCTAAGTATTGTGTACTCTTTTGTATTGTAATTATTTGTAAACATAATTCTAGTGGATTTTCTTTGTTCCAAAGAAGTGTTGTGGTGTTTTCTCCATGCTTTGTGAGTAGTATTTTTATCTTTTCTTTTGTGGTGAATAAGTAGGTTGTGTAGGAATATTTGAAAGCTTTTAAAATTGGTTTTCAATCCATAATGTGATGAGTATTCTTCAAAGCTTTATTTACTTTTCATTATGGCCAAATGAGCAGTTAAAATGTGTTGTGATCCATAATGGTTTGGGAGAGCTATAGAAGAGCAATTAGAGTATTCACATTGAACTATAAGGTATGGAGCAAAAGTAAACTATAGGGAGATGCAAATAGATAGGGAAATAATCTTTGATGGATTCAAATTGGAGTATAAAGAATTAAAAATCGGTTTAACAAAATTTTTTTATGCACTCGAAAGAGGGTAAAGAAGAGAGTTGCTCTTATTTATCACTAGTCACATTTACAATTTAAAGTATTCATTTGCCTGCACACCACTTATATCATTCCAAGGGAGGGTAGCTTTATAACTTGATTATCACCAATTCAAATATATTTAGTAGAATTGTATGAGTAAATTGATCCCGAGAAAATATAATTGTGTAAAATTTATAAAGTTGACTCCGCTTTGCAATGGTGCCGAAAATTTGATGTGGTATTTTATGAATAATAACGTTAAGCACTTAAAATTGGGATTATACGCAAGTATACATATCGTTATAAAAAAATATAAGACTTTCTTTTTAAGTCCAAAATATCGATCCTACGGAGAAGGTTTAAATTTAAAATGATAAATTAACTAAGAAATTCACAAAAATCAATCAAATTTACTGTCACTAATTTTGAATGTTTAAGATACTATTAAAGCTAAATTGTTTACTACTAACAGAATTTAAAAGCAGGATTTAAAATTAATAACTATTAAACTATGTTTATGTGACGAAATTTTCTAATTTGAAAAAGCATCTTTCCCATTACAATGAGTTTTTGATGAAATGAGATAAGATAATGCTTTAGGTATGTATTTTGGCAATAATGAGCAATTTTAATTCCCTACCCTGATTCAGTGTTATAAAAAATCTTTAGTTAATCTTAGATTTAGTCCCTAAATCCGCAGCTAGGCTAGGAGGATAATGGCTCCCACTCTAGAGCTCTCACTTTCCTTCCCCTGAAGGCTAATTCTCGCCTTAGTTTTTAAACACTAAGATCAAATTGTGGATTTTTAGTCTGTCACCCTAGAAATCTCCAATTCGACACTCAACAAAGTATATTTCCCTATTTATTTGCACTTAATTCCCTGAACGAAATACTCTTTTATGGACTTAAATGTGGTTCTCACTCTGTTGTAAAACTCATACTCCATTTCCTGAATCATATGTTTCACAACATATTTTAACGATTCAATTGGCCAGATCGAAAAGTAAATTAAGAGCGGAGTTGAAAAACCATCACAATTTATTTTAAATTTTAACATTGCCACATCAACATTATCTCTTCATTTCACCATATCTGACAGTAAAGAGAAAGATAAAGGAATCTACTTAGACTTCATGAGAAAGATACAACAAAACACAAATTTCATATATAAAAGAAAGTTCATAAAAAAATAATAACAAACAACACTTATCTTAAATTCTTTCTCAAAGCAAATCTTTTGTAGCCTCTCTTAGGAAATGTAGGAAGAAGAAATCTCTCACTTCTCTTCCTCTCCAACACTTCTTAGAAAATAATTCACACTTAAACTCACCACAAAACTTAAATCTATAAAAAATAATTAACTAATGGTGTGGAATGGCATGGAATGTAGGTGTGTGTATAAGAAAACTGAAATGAGTGGAGGAATTTGAAATGGTGCGAAGGGGGGGGGTTCTGATAAAATTTCGGGTTCTGATCAAGTTTCGGCCCTAAATAGAGCCTATGTCGGTTCTCCAATAGGGTGCTTCCAAAAACTCTTCAAAAAGTGCTCTTAAAAAAAGATCCAAATTTGTCGAATCTTCTAGAAATAGGGCTTCCACTGAGACTGGCGCCGTCGGCGCCAGAGGACCTTAATTAAATCCCAAGTTTCTATCAAATGGCGTCGTCGGCGCTGAGTAAATTTTTAACTTCTCCATTTTTGCTCCAAATTTTATCATTTTTGCTTCCTTTTTACTCCAAGTCCTAAAAATCAACAACCTGTAATAAAACATAAAATTCAAAATAACTCCAGTTAATACTACAGGTATAAGAATATCTAGTAGTCAAATCTAAGATTTTTTATTCTCTATTCTTTTCAAGGAAAATTGCAAATTATTCGTATTAAAACCACTTAGAATATTCATATGAAAAAGAATCTCATGAAACTTTACTAGTAAATATGCTAATACTGAAATATAAGTTTAGAAATTGTAGTCAAGCCATCTTTAATTTGATTCAATTGAAACCAATTTTTAATTAGGCATCTCCTCAAGCTTCTCTTCACATCTTTTTTTTTTCCCTTCTCTTTTCTTTTCTTTTCTTTTTTTTTTTCTTTTTAGATCATATTCAATCCTTTTTCTTTTCTTTTTCTCCTTTTCTTTTCATGTGAGGATTGTTATATCTGGATAGCCTTTAATGATTTTGAACTTCACTATCCCCTTCTTAAAGTTAAAAACTTTTCATATTCCTTCACCTTATAAATTTATGTTAGCTTTAAAGATTTTTCATTAAGTTTTAATCTTTTTTTCTTGCATGAATTTCTAAGATTTTTAATACTTCAAAAATACAATTTTTTTTTACTAAAAATAGAAAAACTGTCTTATTTTATCATAATAAATAATCTTAATCTCTGAAATTAACCTTTATTATTGTCTTATTTTATCATAATAAATAATCTTAATCTCTAAAATTAATCTTTATTATTTAAAAATTTTATTTAAGTTTAGTATATATTTAGAAACATAGATATAGTTATCTAAAGTTATCTTCTAATACCAAAAGTCATGTTATCTAAAGTTACCCTATAATACCAAAGGTCATGTTAAATTTTTAAAATATTTTGAAAATATAACTAATTTAAGACAAATAAAATTAAGTTTATTTTCTTTAAAAGGAATTTCTCTTCCCCTCAAACTTAAATTTTTAAGAGATTTTAAATGAAGAACTTAAAAAATTAAGGGTTAAAGATTTAATACATAAAGAAAAGACATACCTGTTGAAGGTTTTGATGTAAAACTTAACTATGAAATATTGCAGGTACTAATATGAAAGGCTACAAGACTTAAAACATCAAATAACACATAATTCATATAAAAAAATTTGCTGAGAAATAGTTAACTACAAATACATCCAAAAAAGTATTAAAAACTAATAACTTCCAGCAATTTTACAAATCTAAAGTTCACAACACCACATACAGCAAAAATTAGAGTATTACAGTCCACAAACACAGTCTCAACAATAAAGTACAATTAAACATAAAAAATAAACAAAAATCTAACTAAAGCGTCACCAATCACGTCTTCTTCTTCTTCTTCTTTCACATCCAAATTCTACTTTTGATATGGAGTAAAAACAGGGGAAACTGAACTGAGTGATCACCCTTCATGAATATGACCATTACATCATCATAAGTAGCATCGTATTCAAACTTCTGTTTTATCAAATAATCAAAGTGAGCATTTCTGCCCTCCATATTTTCCATTCTATGATCTATTCTCAAAATATCTCCCTGTTGGATCATCATTTGTTCCATAAATTCTTAAATGGTAGGGGTACTTTAAGTACCTGAAGTAGAAGGAATATCCTTGGTCCTACTTCCAGATCTCCATCCAACCTGAGATTCATATGTCTTAATATTTGCAGGCCCAATAGGTTTTATATGGCAAACCCAATAGGTCTTAAAGGTTCAATCCTCTCTTCCTTTGGTCTATAATCAATTCCTGCCTGTTAACATAATGTGAAGTTCAGAGCAGGGTGTGCTAAACCTCCAGTAGTCTCTCTAAAAGCAATAGATGTAGTGTTTCTATAAATAATAGAGCCTACATCTATTCTTTTCATCTACTGGATACAGAAGTTTAAGATGGCTCTATCCCTCGTAACCTCACTATGATGATTTTTTGGTATCATTCTTCCAAAAATAAAATAGTATCAGGCCTTAGATAATACATTTAACATTGAAAGAGGAAAGTTTACCTTAACTCCATTCTTTACTTTCCAGGTTCCTCTTTCATCAGTAAGAAGTTCCTCTTCCATCAGTCAGTAAGAAAAGAAATAACCTTATCCAAGGTCTCATTTGTAGTAGAAAATGATTTGTACTGGCAGCTATATACATCTTCTAACTGATAAAATTCATTAATCTTCCTCGGAGTAAACTCCAACATTTTCCCTCAAACAAACACAAAGTCTTCAAAAGTCTCCTTAAAATTGGCGTAGAACTCCATCACTACATCAATAAATTAGCGTAGAACTCTATCAATACGCCAATAATTGCCTCGGTTGTAAATTAGCAGAAATTCTTCCACTGCCGAACATTGATTATTCTCTCAACTCCTCTCGATTTTTTAAATCCTCGATCCAGAATCACTTTGTTAGTTGTACGTAGACTATTGAAGAAAATGTTCACCTTGTAATTAACAAACTTTTGATCATCAAAACCTACCTTTCTTTTTTTTTTTCCTCTGCTCATGGTAAATCTACAAAAATTTGATAAAATCCAAATAAATTTCCAAAAATTCTGAAATTCACAATGTGGAAAGCTTTAAACTTAAATATACTAAGTGAGAGTTCTTCACCAAAAGATTTTCTCAAAATGTTCCAGAAAAACCTCAAAATTTTGGATCTCGATAATGTAAGATAAATCATTGGTGAAAATAAAAAATTTTGAGTTCAAAGTATAGCTCTTTTCTAGAGAAGATAAATCCAAGCTTTGTTTGCCTTAAAAACATCTTAAATCTGAGAAATAGCAAGCCATAGGTGCA